GTTGCGAAAACAAGGTTAAACAACCTCTATAAATTAATTCAATTCTAGCTTCTGCTTAAGTAGCTTTCCCCTTTAATAAAAATTGAGATTGGTTGCTACAGTCTCCTTTACTTTTTACCTTGCATACATTTTGATGCAAAGCATATTCAGTTGAGATTTAATTTGCCATTCGGATTATAGAAGGCAAATTTATATTGTTTTACTATCTTCCTTTTTTAATAAACACGTGTTCTGTCTTTAATTTATCCTCATATACTTCCATTTAAAAGTAAAAGGGCCTACTAGTTTAGGTCATTTGTGAATATTTGTTTGAATTTTGCTTATCCCCTCTTCTCACCTGTTTTTCATTTATGCCGTATTCTCAGCTCCAACCAGTCCTGGCGCCTCTATTTCAAACTCTTCAAACACCCACTACAGAAATCTCGGTATCACCATCAGTGACAGCAACTGCATCACCCGATGGGTCGACCGCCAGTGGCGACCGTCTCCTTAGGCTGCTGGTAAAGGGCTTGCTCTATGAAGCCTGTGTTGACTACTGTGCTCTTATGGCGACCAGTGGCACCGAATCCTTCACAGCGCCGGACTCGTCGAATCAACGTGCTCCGATGCATCTGCCTCGGTTGCTAGGGGGTAGGCGGTCGTACGTCAGTTTGATTATCTCCTGGCCTTAGTGACAACCTTTTGGTACTTGTGCTGATTGCCGAGATTGTGAACAGAAACTTCTAAGAAGTGGTTATTATAATTCAGTGTCGAGTATTTGTTGAAGAGCCACTTAAATATAAGAGCTTTAGTCACCATAAGTTGCTTAAGGTAATGCTATACTGATGATGAGTTTTCACACAACAAGATGAGTAGGCTTCATAATGCAATTGAATTTCATTTGGCTTTGCTTCTTGAAAGGTATTCTCATACAGGGTGTACTACTTAATATCAATACAACTAGTGCTGGCGACTATAATACATGCTTCAGCAATTATCCGGGATCGATTCCCTTTGGGGCTACCGATGATGCCAAGAGTAAGCTGAAACTGCAGTCTAATATGGATCATAAAGGCAAAGCTAACTGAACTTTATTGACATAGTGAGGCCCACTTATCTCATTGTACTAAAATCCACTATCAGTCCTTAATCACCTGAAGCGACTTAGATTGAATAAAACTTTTATTCAACAACTACTGATAGTCCCAAAATTATACTTAATACGAATACTTAAATATGTTATAGATATGGCCAACATAACCAGAATACAACTGAGGATTCCTCTTGGCTTTTGTCATTTGGTTAAACTTGTGAGTTTAGGTTGAGGCAGTCCTTGGGTCACCCTCCTTTAATCCCGGTTAAATGTACCAAGCTTTCATCTTTTAAATGGTTAGCATCAGAGCAGTGGCTCAATCTTAAACAATCTAGAACCCACATTGTAAGAAAAACTAAACGGCTAGTATTCCTTTGTCATATATATTCATAAAAAAATGGCTGGAATATAAATAATTACATGGCATTCATTTATTTCAAAACATATAGTTAGATAAATGGATGACTATTCTTCTATTTGTCAATATAGAATTTCTTAAATGTAATCGGTAGTACATTCCCAAACGTTTCGCCGACATCGTAGTCGGCATCGTCAGTGAGTATCGCCA